TAGTTATCAATGTGCAATATTTGCCAATCCAGGTTTCACAGGGGTGTTTTCAAGCTGAGGAATTTGGAGCATGTAGACATTTCAGGGCAGGACCCTTTGTACAACATTCTTCTCTAGGCATCTCTGATAACTTTGAGTATATATGAGAATCACTGTAGACTGAGAAAAACCACAGTCTCAATGGGGTAATGCTAAAAGGAGGAAAGGATGTTCTACTCCCTTCATTTAGAGGGGAAAAGGGGTAGCAGGATATGCCAAGGTCACACCGCATTTACTGGCAGTAGGATCTTGGGTTTTCGGGTGCCAGTGAAACTCAGTATCACAGCTCTCTTCCTACTACGGTTGTTTGGTTTCTGCAATTCCTTCCAGTCTGTTTACTGATGATGTTTCTGTGCTTTTAATTCTCAGATCTTTGGAAACCATTTTCTTGACATAAGAAATGATGCCTGGGATATAGAACATCCTCAGTAAATGCTAGCTATATAAATGGATAAATGAACAACAGAGGGGCTAGGTTGATTCTCCTAAAACCTCCCTTAGATTCATCATCCAATGATGCATTTTATCTGCATCACATCTCTTATCGGTGGAGCCAATTCAGTCTCTAGTACCTGTTTTATTAAATGTATATAGAGGGTAAAGTGTGGCAGTTGATTGTGATGCTGCCTCAGTCTTGTGGAAGAAGAAGGTAAATACATGAGCTAAAATGCCAATACTGGGATGCCTGGGTGGCTCAGCGGTTGAGAGTCTGCCTTCGGTGCAAAGCCTGATCCAGGGTCTGGGCATCAAGTCCCGCATCGGGCTCCCTGTGAAGAGCCTGCTTCTCCCTCTTCCTATGTCTCTGCCTCTCTCTCTGTGTCTCTCATGAATAAATAAAATCTTTAAAAAAAAATAAAATGCCAATATTTTACACAGCTGGGACAACATACTGAATCTAGGGTAAGGCATCATAATGACGGATGCTAGGGAGGTTTCAATGATACTCATGACATCATGCTCTTATATACCATAGTGTGGAAGCTGGATGTGAAAATAATGAAAGTGTTTTAGGTATTTGAGCACGTTTCTTAATTCATTGAATCCTCATAACCATCCTAGAAAGGTAGTCATTATTAATCTCACTTCAGAGATGAGGCTTAGAGAGAGGGTGGCTATGGCACCAGGTTATAGAGCACATACCACACTGAGCTTGGAAACTTAGTGAGGTCTGCTTTCTCTAGAATCTGTGCTTTTTTTTCCAGGTTATATGAATCCTGAGTCCTGCAATGAGACTATGAGTGGTTTACAACAATGGACCCAGTGTTTTTTCAAAAGAAATGCTTAATAGAAAGTGAGGTTCCTTTTGCACATGAAGTATAACACCACTGGCCTCAGAGCTGGAGGCACAGTAGAGACATTGAGGATGAAGCTGATAGAAGAGTAGAAATCACTCGGGGAAGAGACTACAGGTGGTTTGGTCTCACTGACGGCATGAAGGCTAGTGTTCTAAATGCAGATGACAATGCTCTCCAGGCAGGAAGTGAGGGCAGTGACTAGGAGGCTCATGTCCTGACACCTGTGGGTATTCGTACCAAGCTAAAAGTAGATCCTCTGGTTTTAATACTTAGGGTTTTGCTCTTCTGATCATAAGGTAGGCTTCCTCTGATAAAAAATCTGATTCATCTGGATAAGACCTACAACAGGTTACTATTAGAAGCATGAGAGGATCCCAAGATCTTGTTTAGAATTTAATTTAGTAAGACATATACAAGTAGTAAGATTAAAGTTACCTGAATTCACACTCTCATGTCTAAATTGAAGTTTTAAAAATAAGTAAGATCCTTTGACCGAGTAACTAAATCCATAGGAGTTTTCCGTCTGAACCTCTCTCAGCATGGGATGGAAATAATCCTCCCTCTTGAATTCTAACAGAAGCATCCTGGTATCTCGTATTGTCTAAGGTTTCTAAAACGTTTTAAAGTTCTGTATAATACTGCCTATTGCAGCAAGAGTGGAGAAAGATCCAATGTTCAACAGCAGGCAAATGATTAAATAAATAAGGCATTCTCATGAAGCGAATCAAATAGAACTTTAAAGATTATATAGAATGAAAATATTTATGAGTGGAATTCAAAATAGTGTGTATACTAAAATGATAACAATGAAAAATTATGGATGAATGGGGAGTATAATATTCAAAGATGAAAAGAGATGTGGGTTTAAGACCTATTCTTAAAATAAAAACTTTTAAAAATAAGAGATATTGAAAAAAGTGGTATAAAAGAGTATCCCATGAAGAAGAACCATGATTCAAAAGTTTTGGCAATTGGCAACACACACACAGAGACATATTTATATGTATATCAGAGGTGTTAAAAAGCTAAGTGAAAAAAAGTGAATCATTTGCAGAGTTAAATTTGGCTTTTTTTTTTAAACATTTTATTTACTTATTCATAGAGACACAGAAAGAGAGAGAGAGAGAGAGGCAGAGACACAGGCAGAGGGAGAAGCAGGCTCCATGCAGGGAGCCTGATGTGGGACTTGATCCCTGGTCTCCAGGATCACGCCCTGAGCTGAAGGCAGCGCTAAACTGCTGAGCCATCCAGGCTGCCCAAATTTGGCTTTTATTTTATTAAATTTGTGTCATATAAGTATTTATGCATGGACAGATGTGGAAGGTCTTTAATGTGATTTGTGAATGATTTTTCTTGCACTTTAATGTTTTTGTGTGTGAAGTGAGGTAATGAAATATATACCTTATTAGTAAAATTTGGTAGAAAGTTTGGAAAATAAAAGTTTAATAGTAAAAATCATCTACCATTATTCCATGACCCAGAGATCTACCTACTACGACTATTTTGACCTTTTCCTTCTATAATATTTTCTACACATAGCTATATTTTTTGAAGAAAAGTAGGAACATATTGAACAACAGGTTAGTATCCTATTCTATTTCATTTAACAGTACCTCCTAAAAGATTTTCCCCATGCCCTTAATTATTCTTGGAAACACAGTTTTAATGGCTGGTTAATAAATGTACAATTTATTTAGCCATACTATTCATTTCTATTACAAATAATGCTGAATGGCATATCTTTGTAAATGAATCTGATTGTATCCGATTCTTTTTAAAAGTCCTATTAAAAGACGTATTTTTATTTATTTTTTAAAAAGATTTATTTATTTATTTATTTATTTATTTATTTATTTATTTATTTATTTATTTATTATGATAGACACAGAGGGAGAGAGAGAGAGGCAGAGACACAGGAGGAGGGAGAAGTAGGCTCCATGCCAAGAGCCTGATGCGGGACTTGATCCCGGGACTCCAGGATCGCGCCCTGGGCCAAAAGCAGGCGCCAAACCGTTGAGCCACCCAGGGATCCCTAAGAGATGTATTTTTATTTTATTTTATTTTATTTTATTTTTTTATTTTTTTTAAGAGACGTATTTTTAAAGGTTTACTAAGATCTAATTCACATAGAAATTCACTCGATTTAGGTATGCACACTTCCCTCATTAACTGATTTTTTAAGCATTAGTCTTCAAGCTGATTCTACTTGTGTGCACACATATATGTGAGTACACATACACGTACAGCCTAACTTCCCCATCCCCTCAAATTGAGAATCATCGATGATGAGAGATGATTTTGGCACAGCCAAAGAAAAAAAGACGTATGGTTTTGGTAGAAAAAAACATCTTTGAAAGCAAGTAAGGGGGATTAGGTTGTTTAGAAATAGAATTATGGTCAAGTCTCACCTCTCTATTCTTTTTTTTTTAATATTTTATTTATTTATTCATGACAGGCACAGACACAGGCAGAGGGAGAAGCAGGCTCCATGCGGGGAGCCTGATGTGGGACTCGATCCCGGGGCCTCCAGGATCAGGCCCTGGGCTGAAGGCAGCGCTAAACCAAGTAGCCAAGCGCTACTTGGCTTCTACCAAGTAGTCCTCATGGGACACCGCTGAGCCACCCGGGCTGCCCTCACCTCTCTATTCTTTAGGATGAAGAGCATTGATAAGCTGAAATCTGATCAATTTGGCCAATCACGATGCCTCAAAATAACTGTCTTTCTTCATTGCACCTGTGGGGTTTTGCTTCAAATGTTCCATGCCAAGAAGAGGCCGCCGCCCATTCCCTATGCATCTATACTAACCTGCTACGCCTTCCTCACCCAATCCTACTTTGCTCTGCTCCCCAGGCAGAAATACCAGTATTCTTTGCTCCAAGGATGCTGTGAGTTGTAACACAACACGGTGTGGCCTGGTACACTTCTTATACTCCTAGGACTACTCCAGCCTCTAAGCCCCCTCATTCATCCATCCAATCCCCAGCCAACAAACGTTTACTGATCACCTGCCCTACGTTAGGCGCTATAGTAACTGCTAGAGCACAGTGTGAACAGAACAGACTGGCAGTGCTCTTAAAGAACCTTCCACGTAGCCTGTCTTTGTACTCATCACCTCCCTCCTTCATTCTCCAACATCAGGTCTTTTTCCTCGAGGCATAAAATCCTCCCCTAACTCCTAAATTTAGCGCAAACAACTCATGCTATCTTTTCTTCCATCTCAACTTTTGAATCCTCTAGTTCTTACTTCCATCCCAATCCCATCTGGCTGGACATTTCACAGCCTTCCCCCCAGCTCTTTCCACTTTGTCTTACGGGGTTCCTCATGTCTGTTTTCCTTTTCTTCACATTTCATTTGAAAGCAACCTTCTGCCATGAGCCTTCCTGGATTAGCAAGGCCAGCTCTGGGATTCAGTAATGTATTTTAAGCTAGACGCCAAAAGTTTCTCTGCTCAAATAGCTGAGTGGTCTGGTCTGGGATGGCAGCAGCCAGGGGAACCTTGATTGATTGAGGGTGATCTGGTTGTTGAAGGGTAAATCTGGTTGATTTAGGGTGAATCCACACCTAAGTGTCAAGTTCTCTCCTCCTAGCCTGGGAGAAACCTAAAGACAAGAACGTTGCTTGATTTTAACGTGAGACCAAATCCCCCCTGGGGTAGTGCACTTACCTAACTAAGACTGGGATCTTGGGCATCTTCTTGGAGACTTTAAAGAAACTCGTGTCACCTTTGTTGTCAGTGAAGTACACGCCGGCCACACTGGTCACGAGGTTGCCAGGGAAGGTGAAAAGCACCCTTTCATCATCACCCTGGTTGGCCCAGTCCCAGGCCTGGCCTCCAATGAGCAAGCCCCCTCCACGTTTCATAAACTTGACCAACTTTTCTGTCATGGTTTCGTTGTAGGCGTCAATGCAGTAAACCCCCAGGGAGTCTTTCACTTCTGGCTCGATCTTCGCCTCCACCCCAGAACCCTCAAGGATTTTGGCCAGGGGTGCCAGGGATGGGTGTACACCAATGGGAGCCCCAGGGGAAGAACAAAGCCAACCTACTGCATTGAGGAGAAAGGGAGTGAGCTGGGCTTCTACCAAGTAGTCCTCATGGGACACCACCACCAGGCGGCCTCGGCCGTAGGAGGAGGCAGCAATGAGGACCTGGCCCATGTCATTCACCATCACTGGGAAGGAGGCCTCTCCAATTAGAAGCAGTTCACATGGGATGGCATCTTCGGGAACATCCCAGCTGGTCACTCCATTCATCAGGGCCTCAAAGGCAGCAGAGGGAGTTGCCATGGCTGGATGGATTTCTGTAGAGAGGAGAGAAAAGGCTCAGTTTGGCAAGGAATAGATAAACAAATAAATAATGGAGCCAAACAGTTCACTCTTTCCCTGGTGGTGGCAATTCTTCTGACAATGTAGCTGAGACCGACTCTGAACTAACTCAGAGATTCACCAGGGGTGTTGAGGCATCCAGCCCAGGAGACCCCATCGCACCCTGCTCAGTCCTCCTGAACTCTTATGGCTAACCTAAAAGAGCTTGGCACTTTGCCATTGCAGAAGGAAACAAACAGAAGTGGAGAGTGTGGGCAGAATTGTGCCCCCAAAGAGATACCTTAGAGTCCGAATTCCCAGTATGTGTGAATGGGACCCTATTTGGAAATACGGTCTTTGTAGGTACCATCAAGTTAAGATGAGGTCATAGTGGGTCTGATTGAGCCCTGATTTAATGACTGATGTCTTTTAAGAAACAGCTGGATGCAGACACAGACGCATAGGGGAGAACAGTAAGAGAAACAGGAGCGACACATCTATATGCCAAGGGAGGCCAGAGGTTGCTGGTGAGCACCTGAAGCTCTGGAAGAGGCATGGGACAGATTTTCCTTCAGAACTTCCAGAAAGAACTGCCCTACCAATACCTGGACTTCAAACTTCTATGACCCCCGGACTGTGACAGAACATATTTCTGCTGTTTTAAGTCACCCTGTGTGTGGCGATGTGTTACAGCAGCCGCTGGAAATTAATACAGTGGTGCAGCATGCTGACCCGCCCCCCTCTGCTCCCATGTCCATCTTACTAATCCCAGCTTGAAGATCCCAACATTTCAGCCTGGAAAGTCTGGGTCCTCAGAGAAGTTTCTTTGGTCACAGTCCCAGGCTGGGGAAGAGGAAACCATAAGTCCTCTGTGGCTTGAATCCAGGTCCCAGACAACCAGGAATTATGGCAGATTCTTACTTGTACCTGGACGCAGTGGAGCAAGGTGTGTATGTCTGTGGATGTGTACTCACGTCAATCCTCTGCTTCTTCACCATGAGCTCCCTGCTCATGATGCTTGATGTCTGACCTCCACTATATATTCTCTACTGAAGCAACTCCCCCAAAAGCAGATAGATGTGTTTTCATCGGACATCGAGGGCTTGGCCTTCTCACTGACCACTCGACGGCACCAGACAATGCTGCTCTCCCGGTATCTGAGGCTCTCACTGCCAGTTACGTTATGGCCAGAGCCAACCTCATCACCTTCAACCTGCTGACCCATCCACTTTCCATCCTTCCCTTACCTCTTCTGAAAATGCAGATATCCCTTATGTTTTTACCTTTGGTCCTTAACCTCTCCCTTTCTATTTCCCTTGTCAGAGAATATGCTCACTCTCAAGGTAATACGGCAGAGCAGTTATAAGCTCAGGCTTCAGGAATTAGGCTACCTGGGCCTGAATCTTGGCTCTGTTTGCTTACTAACCGTGAGATGGGGAAACATCTGAGACTTCATTTCCTTATTCAGTAAGGATAAGAGTATCTAATAGCACATAATGTTGTCCCAAGGATCAAAGGAAATAACAGTTTAAGTGTCTTTCAATTATTTACTATATATATGAGGATGTGTATGTGTGTGTGTATGTAACATGAATTTGTTTATGTATATTTACTTATAAGTATGTGGTTAAGAGTAAGGTATTTAACTTAGAAATGGGCCTAATATAGAATTCTGGTTTTTTTTAATTTATTTATTTGTTTTTGAGAGAGTGAGACAGCAAATAGGGGGAGAGGCAGAGGGAGAAAATCCTCAAGTGGATTCCCCGCTGAGTGGGAAGCCCAGTGTGGGGCTCAATCCCATGACCCACTAGATCATGAACCGAGCTGAAACCAAGAGTTGAAGGCTCAACCAACCCAGCCACCTGGACACCCCAGAGAGAATTCTTATAAAGTGAACAAAAACCAAACCTCGTGTCAGATTTTATAAATACTGGACTAAGCATTTTTTTAAAAAGATTTTATTTATTTACTCATGAGAGACACAGAGAGAGAGGCAGACACATAGGCAGAGAGAGAAGCAGGCTCCCTGCGGGGAGCCCAATGCAGGACTCAATCCCAGGACCTGGGATCACAACCTGAGCCAAAGGCAGACGCTCAACCACTGAGCCATCCACGTGCCTTGGGCTAAGCATTTAATGATTCTGATTTTATAGTTTTCACATCATGGAGCCAAAGCTAACACTAATATTAATTATTATAACATTTAGTTCTCAAGCGTTTCCGCTGGTCTTTGAGAAAGTCCTGGGCCCAGACACTGTGCCTTCCCAAGCACAGATGAGAAGGCCCTGGTTCTGAGGTGACAAATACACCCAAGATCCCTCCTGGAAGAGCACACTCTACCATTTGCAGTGGTCTCTAAAACTAAAGAAGTCTTAAAGGTAGTCTTTTCCTTCCACACTAGCTCCTTTTCGGTACATCACCTGAGCTCAGTGTCCCTAGATGTGAGGGAGGGTGACAGCTACCTCAGAGAACCTTGGAGACATAGAATCAGCAGGCAGCTGGTTAACAAGAGCTGGTCCCTTCCTCGCTCTTCCTGGTGTCCACAAATAGCCAGGACCGCAAACCGCACAGTGTCACAGCTGTGTCCCTTCTCCCTCCTGTCCCATCTCCAGCTGGTCACAGGCCTGTCAATGTCATTGTCCATGGTTTCCAACTACACTGCCAGTAACCCAGTTCAGATGCTCACTAATTCATTCCTCGACTAAACTGATCCAGTTTCTAAGTCACCAGGGTCTGTTCTTGCCTCTCTTCTTCTAAAGCCACTGATAGCTTTATTTCCCAGAAGAGATCCCCCTCCCAGAGCTTTGCCTTTTCCCGAAGGGTTTAATCAGACACTTTCATCCTGGGGTTTAAGGTCTCCAGGGCTGGCTGCTCCTTACGTTTTCTAGCCGTGTCTCCGGCCGCCTAACCTCTCTGCAGCTTGCAGGACACTTGGCATTCCCAGACATGCCCTGCTTTCATTTCAGAGTCTCTTTCCATCCCCTTTCCTTCATGTTACCTCTCCCACATCTTTCTATCTGTTGAAATCCTATCCTTCCAAGAGAAGATGTTCACAGAAGAGGAAATTTAAATGGCCAGTTAGTCTATGAAAATATGCTCAAGCTCACTGGTCAGGCAATTCAAAACAGAATGCATGATGTTGTCCACAAGATTATCAAAAAGGAAGAAGGCGAAGGAGAAAGGGAAGGAGTAAAAAGAAGGTGAAGAAGATGAAGGCAAATAATAATGCCCGATCTAAAAACCATAGTAATAATAATAATGCCCAATGCCCAAAAGGCTAGGAGGACACTACCACAATCTGCTGGAAGGGCCAAGAAGCTGAGAGCAATCTGACAGTGGCAGCTCCATTTCAGAGGTGAGCCTGTCCTCGGTCCAGCAATCCCTCTTCGGATGACCTTTCTTACAGAAATAAGAGCAGCAGTACTGGGATACAAGGATGCTCACTGCTGTAGGAAACTACCAACGGAGACAGATAAATGCAAACCTAGAAATGGAGATAGATGAGTGACAAGGAATGTTTTCTAGAACCATCCATGACTTGTGTGGGTGCAGCTCTTTAACCCAAAGCCACACCTATCCTTCTGTGTACTCACTCCCCTCAGTCTGTCGTTACAACATAAGACCCTGGGGCGCAGCCCTCCGCCACGCCCCCCTACCCTTGCCAGCCATGCATACACACCCCACAAAGAGCTGTGCATCAGACCCCACCTCTACGGGCCCCTGTTGCTGCCACTGGTGCTCCAGAAACACTCAGAGCAGGGAACTCACATTTCTGTATTTCGAGCTAGTTCATGGGAGAACTATCTGTGCAGAAGTGACAAAGGGATGGGCATGTAGCCTGGAGATTTGAAAAGCAGGGGACCAGAAGGAAGAAGGCTGTTCCTGTGAAGTTACTTCCTTCTACCTGCCAGGCTTTGGTAGGGAACACTCAAGCTCCCCTCCTCTGGGCCAGTTTCCCAAGTCTGCACCACGACTAGTGGGACTGCAACGTAGCTTCAGCCTTACAGCAATGCTGCATGTACGGCAAGCCGACGTCGGAGAGGAAGAATGTTTGAATAGAGTATGATGATCTATATGACAGGATATCACGTTGCTCTGACAAAGAATGAGTTAAGTCTGTTTTGCATCTACACAGAACACCCTAGATATACTTTAAGTGAAAACCTCAAATCACTGTAATATATAGGGCACAAACCCATTTTTGTATGGATGAAGATAATAATAGTAGGACTAGTAAATTTAGCACGAGTGATGACCACACACTGCTTCCCAGGTTCCAGGCATTATTTTAAGTTCCTCAGTAAATCAGTTAATCCTGACAGCAAACCTGTGAGGTACGTACTATCACTACTCATTTTAGAAGTGGACAAGAACAAAACAAAAAACGTGATGGCCAGACAACGTGTTACTTGCTCAAGTCACACAGGTGGGAGTGGTGGAGCCAGGATTCAAACCCAGGGAATCTTGTACTGACTCCACATTCTTAAGTACCAGGATTTTCCGTAAAACAGAAAGTCTATGGAGGCCACATTTCAACCTGCTGACTTTAATTAACTGCATTAGGAAGAGAAGAGATGAATAGCAGACTTTATATAAACCTACATCCTTTGAATTGTTGTATGTATTACTGTTACCGTTAAAAATAACACAGGTAGGGGCACCTGGGTGGCTCAGTTGGTTAAGCTTCTACCTTCTGCTTGGGTGATGATCTCAGGGTCCAGAGATGGAGCCCCGTGTCATTCCTCATCTCATCCCACTCCCTGCTCAGTGAGGAGTCTGCTTCTCCCTCTCCCTCTGCCCCTCCCCGCTGTCTGTGCGTATGCACGACCCCCCCATCACTCTTAAATAAATACATAAAATGTTAAAGAAAAATAACACAGGTAATATAACTGCAAACAAGCAAGGAAACACACATTAAATGACTGACCATATACGTCACTGGATTGTTCAACTGATCATATCTCACTCACCCTAAAATGTTTCTTTTTCATCTCCC